TGCAGCATGTCTATAAAATATCTTACATAAACTTTTGAAAATCATAAAAATAGTGCAAATGAAAGTAGACATGTCTGACCTGCTGGTACTGGGAGACACAGAGCAAGTTGAGTCACAATCAGCACCATAGTGATCTTAAAGATCAGTGCTGAGGAGGCTTTCTGGATCACAACACACAGTCCGGCCATCTTCTCTTGTTCCTGTTGCACTTCCTGTTGGAGATATGATTGGCCATCAAAATCTTAACAGCACAGAGTTCTTTATTCAATTCTTTCTCCCTGCAACCCTCCAGTCTTTACCACTCACATCCATTTGACCTTCATTAGAATAAATCTTCACACCTCACCACTTCCTGCTCAGTTCTTCCCTTTTCAGTGTTTTTCTCTCATAGCTCTACTCTTAACTTCACATCTGAGTTTTTTGGTCAAAATTGTTCCCTATATGACCTTACAAAAGCATCTTGCATCACAGCATTACAGCACACAATGACTCACTTACGAAAACAGTTGCATTGCTGTTTCTTTTTGTCTATCTTGCTTCTTCTGCAGTCAAGTGAGCTTTCTAAATACGTCTTGATCCCAATAGACGATCAAGAGGTAGAGGGACATCATCAAAAGCCAAATAACTGCATTTTTATCATTTAGAAAAGATGATGGGAATTTCTGTTGTTAGACTGCACAGCCAGTCATCTGATAAGCATCTCACCTACAGCCTGGAGGATATTTTCCCAGGAGAGGTGTGGTTGTCATTAAAAACAATGAAAAGAAATGTTGGTCTGTTGATCGTTATAATAGCAACATTACAATTCATCCTCTCCAGTGTCATCAACATGCTTTTTCTATTGTAAATCTTGGGATTTGTGGGGTTTTACATGTTTAATTATTAGTCGGGTCTTGCTTTCAATCTCAAAGTCCAGAATAAAAGTGAATTAATCGCAACCATTACAACCATTCTGTAAACTGGACGTTATCAAAGAAGAAAACGGATGGTACATGTATAAAAACCACAATTTAATTGTATTATGGCAATAAACCGTTCTGGGTTGTTTTTTTCCATTTGCGCTAAATGTCAGGCATGAACCAAACACTCTGTCTGCAAAATCCGTGACATTTTCACTTCACGGCAAAGCAACTATGATATAAAAACACGAGATCTAAATCACACCATGCAAATTTTTCCCAATTATTATTATTCTTATTATGTTTTAAAACGGACACCGAGTAGCCGCGGCGTTGTAATGCATGATCGGTAATCTTTAAATTTACCTTGATCCACCCGTCTGAGGTGCTGCTTCGTTCTTCAGTAACTTGCAGAGAAGCCGTCAGTCTCTCTCTCTCTCTCTCTCTCTCTCTCTCTCTCTCACTCTGCACTGTTTCAACTCTTGTCCTACGCCTATCACCGCACACCCGGGAAGACGCTGAATGGAAACACCGACAAACTTTTAGTGCTTTGCAGATGGTCGTGCTGCAGCTCTTCCCCGGTAAAAAAATAAATAAATAAAAACTTTTTAAGAAGCGCAATTAAGATATGCGCAATGAAACTTAAGCCTCACTTTAGAATTCTTCCTCCGCCACATGACGCACTGCCACTGATGATGTCATTCAGAAATACAGACACGTGTGGTGCAATCCCCTTATAGGCCGAGGACCAAAACAAACAATCATGACCTCAGGCACATTTGAAGACTTAAAGAAGAAATGTAAAATATATGAAATAGTAGTTGAATAAAATACACAAGTGTGGTCTGAAATACGTTTCAGAAACATCTCTGCTCTTTCACATTTGCTGTAGACGTCATCAGATATTTTCAGTTCCTGATATGTGACTGATGCTCCAAGAGCACATGTGACATAGATGCAGACAGGCGGTCCCTCCACCGTCCTCCACCTGACCTCCCTCTCTTACTCTCTTTCCCCTCTGCTCTCACCCATTCTTCTGTGCCTGCCTCTAATAGTTCCTCTGTGCAAATCTTGGCATGACTAATTGTGAAGTCCCCTTTTGCAATGTCAGTTTTCTGAAAAGGTGACTAAACAATCAAGCAAGTCATGACATTTGTAAGTAAATAAGTATGAAACAGGGCGAAGGGGGGGGGGGATCAGGGTGGAGAGTGTCTTGCTCGTGGCAGAGGAATCCAAACCACCAAACACTCTGCCGGAGACATGTAAAGTAGTTCCTCATTTGACCTCGACTATGATTTTCACAGAGATTACTGACTGGAGAGGGAGAGAGAGAGAGAGAGAGAGAGAGAGAGCCAGGTGTGGGCTGAAGCAGGGATCCTGACAATAGATTCACATTCAGTGTCAAGTCATTCTTAATGTCTGCCATGCAATATCAAATACAGTATTTGAAAAGGAGAAAGTAACTCATGTCCCAAACCATTTTGGAGCTAGAACAGCGACTGTTAATTTTGTCAGTGAAAACACAGTCTGGCATTAAACCAAACCTGAGCTAAAAGGAAAAAAAAAAAAAACACTCTGGCATAAAGACACTTGTGAGATAAGCAGTTGTAGGCTACTGCACAAAAAAAAAAAAAGTATTGAACAATCTCTGCACCAGAAAGTATGCAGAGGGAGGCGGCGGAGAAGGTTAAAGAATATTTATTGATTGTGTCAGGGGTAAAGGGGAATTCTTGGGGAACCGGGGAGTGAAGGTCCGTGGTGGGGAAACCAGTTTGTCGGGGATTAGGTGCCAGACGGGGTCCACTCTAAGGTGCAGGTGCTCCTGAGGCTGTGAGGTGGAAGTGGTGCCAGTGATTTCCTGTAGAGGTGCGGGGGGTTGGTGCTGGTGGGGTTCCCCGTGCAGGCTGAACAGGAACTGCTGGTGAGCCGGTGGAGGCAGTGCTGGAAACGGGCAAAAAGATAACAAGGTTAGCGAAAACAC